CTCCACAATGAGGAAGCATCTTCCAGCAGCCAGTCCATGTGGGGAGACATCATGGACACCAGGGACGAGCTGATGGAGCAGCAGCTCAGAGAGAAGGATCAGGAGATCCTGAGACTCTCTGAGCTGCTCCAAAGAGATGGACCACTCCAGAGAGACAACAAACGACTCCAGGAGGAGAACCACAAGCTGCGGGAGGAGAATCACGAACTCCAACAGAAAGTGAAGATGGAGGTCAAGGCTGCAGCAAGAAACAAGTTGCTGGAGGAAGAAAACAAAACACTCCAGCAACAGAAGGATGGACTGAAGCAGCAAAGACAGAGGCTGATGATGACAAGTAAAGAGCTGCTGGAGGACAATCAGAGACTGGCGCTCAATGAGATGATTATGGAGAACAGGTGGAAATGCCTAAAGGTGGAGAAGGAGCAGCTGGACCACCAGAAAGACGAAGAAGTCCAGAGGCTGAAGGACCTAAACGACTCTCTCACTGCGACGGTCTCCAGTATCCAGCAGGAGATGCTGGACAAGGAGGCCGAACACCAGCACAGAGAGGAAGTCTGGCGGTTTAAACTCAGGACTCTTGAGAAGCTCTGGGAGGAGGCAGAGCAGCAGAAGACAGAGATGGAGGGGACAGTGAAGGATCAGCTGGACCGCCAGAAAGACCAAGTCCAAAGGCTGAAGAGAGTAAATGACTCTCTCACTGCGACAGTCTCCAACATCCAGCAGGAGATGCTGGACAAGGAGGCCAAACACCAGCACAGAGAGGAAGAGTGGCGGTCCAAGCTCAGCGCTGTGGAGAAGCTTCAGGAAGAGACGGAGCAGCAGAAGACAGAGATGGAGCTGAAAGTAAAGGAGCTGAAAGAACAGGAACAAAGACTCAGAGGGGAAGAGACACAAAAAGAGAAAAAGAAGAAAAAGAGCTTCTGGCGTTGTCTCTTCCCCAAAAGGAGACACAACAACCAGCTGAAGGTGGAGGAGGCAGCTGGTTGTTCAGAGTAGCTCCCTCTGCCTCCCCCCTTCCCATC